CCTACGTTAAAAAACGAGCTAAAAAAAAAAATGTAAAATTTATCTTACTTATTCGCCTGAAATCACGTTATATTTTACTATTTTGTAATATACACAATTAAGAATTAATGACGTTTAAATCAGCTTGTTATTGACATAATTAAAGTTTAATAACATTTAAGTCAGTTTGTAATTTACACAATTTAAATTAAACAGAATTAAGTCATTTATTGTAGTGATTTCAAGGTCATTTGTTGAAAAATTATTTTCTACTCGAATCTCAAGTATAAATCTATATTATATCCAATAATATAATATTATAATGTTTTAAAATATAAAATTATGTACATTATAATTTTATTTTATTTTTAAAAAATATATTTTAAGATTTTTTTTAAAATATTAAAAGAACGTTTTCTTCCTGTTTATGCGTGTTATGCTTGTTATTTTGTAATAAACACAACTAGGATTTAATGACGTTTAAGTCAATTTGTAATTTATCCAATTAAAGTTAAACAGAATTAAGTATTGGGATAATTTCAAGGTCATCAGTGATTTTCATTAGCTTTAATATTATGATATATTTTAACGTTCAGCAATTGCTAAATATTTTTTTTTTTCTATTTTCTATGCAAGTCCTGTGTTTGAATTCTATATTACAGCCAATAATATGACATTATAATGGGTTAAAATAGAAAAATAAAAGTATAAATTTTTTCTTCGTGTCCTTTAAAAATTACGTCAAAATTTCATTTACACATTTAAAAAATTCATTTCAATTATTCGTAATAAGTACAATTAACATTTAATGTCGTTTATGTCAATTTGTAACTTACACAATTAAAATTAAACTAAATTAAATCAATTATTATAATAATTTCAAGATTATTAGGAAGTTTTGTACGTTAATGTGATATATTTTAATGCATATTAACGTTAAATGTATGTTAAAATATTGAAAAAATTTACTAATTTTCTATAAAAATCCTATATTTTTATATCTGAATAGCACTATAAAGGATTAAAATATAAAGAAATACACTTATACTTTTATTTTTCTGTTTTTTTTAAAAATATTTTATAATGTAAAATAAACACAACGAGATTACATATCTTAAAATCACTTTGAAAATATTTCAAGTCAGTTATTTTTAACTCGTACACTTAACATTTAATGACATTTAAATCAGTTTATAATTTACACAATTAAAATTAAATGAAATTAAGTAAGTTATTGTAATGATTTCAAGGTCATTAGTGAGTTTTTATAGCTTTAACGAGATGCATTTTCACATATTTTTAACTTAACAAATTATGCTGAAATATTATATTTTCCATCTTTTATCTAATAAAATATTATAATGAGTTAGAATATACGATAAAAATACATCTTTATTATTATTTTTTTTTCGTATTTTAAAATGTGTTAAATTCACATTCTGTTTATATCCATGTTAAAAAAATAATAATAATAATAATAAAATATATGTCGCNAATAAATATTTTTGCATTTAATTTTCTTTTACGAGAAATTTAAAAACAGAGTAATAAAAGAAAACTATTAAAGAAACAATTTAAAAAAAAAAAAACTTAAACGAGCAATTATTTATTATGACATCGTCATAATGACAGGCTGCGGTTTTTAACAATATTTTAATTTTTAAAAATCACGTGACTTCTGGTCCAGACGGGAAGTTCGTATACATTTAATTGGAGTCTCAAGCCCCTAAGCTTTCCATATCTGGTCTAGATTTTAGTAGTTCCTTTCCCCTGTACATAATACTTCTCGTGATAACAATCGAGTCGTGCCGTTTATCTATCTAACCCGTACCCAAGAAAATTTTGCATTGAAATCAGATGACTTCCGGTCTAAACTGGTTCGTATATAGTTAGGGCCATATTCGGTCTCGATTTTCACTTAAGCTTCCAAAATTTAATACTTCCAGTCTCGATTTCTACTTAAGTCTTCAATATATGGTCTCGATTTTAACACAAGCCTTCAATATATTGTCTCAATTTTAATCAAAGCCTTCAATATATAGTCTCGATTTTAATACAGGCTTTCGATACATGGTCTCAATTCTAACCTACACTTTCGAAATGTGGTCTCGATTTTTACTTGAGCTTTCAATATATAATCTCCATTTTAACTTACGCTTTCAATATATGGTCTCGATTTTAACACAAACCTTCAATATATAGTCTCAATTTTAACCAAAGCCTTCAATATATAGTCTCGATTTTAATACAGGCTTTCGATACATGGTCTCAATTTTAACCTACACTTTCGATATGTGGTCTCGATTTTTACTTGAGCTTTCAACATATAATCTCTATTTTAACTTACGCTTTCAATATATGGTGTCGATTTTTATCTAGCACCGTTTTAGAGATTAAGGAAGGTCGAACAATAAAAATTAAAATTGCAGCCCGAAAATTTAAAATAAGAAGAGAAAAGTTAAAAATAAAACTGTTAAAAGATAANATCTTTTATCTAATAAAATATTATAATGAGTTAGAATATACGATAAAAATACATCTTTATTATTATTTTTTTTTCGTATTTTAAAATGTGTTAAATTCACATTCTGTTTATATCCATGTTAAAAAAATAATAATAATAATAATAAAAATTATGTCATTTATTTAAATTTACACCGTTCAAATTTAATTCTATTTAAGTACACAATTAAAATTTTAAATGACATTTAAATCCGTATGTAATTTACACAATTAAAGTTAAACGAAATTAAAGTCAATTATTGTAATAATTTCATGGTCGTTATTGAATTCTTATGGATTTAATAAGGTATATTTTGGTATAATTTAACGTTTAATATATGCTGAAGAATTGTAAAAAGAAAAAATCTATATTTTCTATGCAAGTCTCGAGTCAGAAATACAATTTTTGTACCAGATCAACAGCTATATTTCTTGTTCCAAAATAAGAAACACGAAATAAACACTACACTATAAAATCCAATGTACAAGGTGTTGGCAATGTATTGAATGTGATAAAAAGAAGAGCAGTTTTGGAACAAAATAACTTTCAATTTTTGTTTAATCTATTTACTCTGTTTTACATGACACACAAATTTTTTCACATAGAAAAGAATGGAGTACATGTTCGCGACGAGTGAAAGTGAGCAGTGNGCTTAAATTAAACGTAAAATTTTAAGTATAATTTTTTTTTAACATTAATTATTATATAAATAATTACAGAAGAGAAACGTCATAATAAAAACATATTTTACATACTTAAAAGAAAAATTAGGTTAAAACAGATTGACGAACACACCCTAAGATTTTTCAAGGTATGCTTGACTAAGCTCCGTGTCTGTGACTAAGTATATGTATATATATATATAAGTGAGACCCTTATGCATTTCAATAGAAATGAATTGAAGTTACACCCAAAAGTTATTTCCTGTCATTCTATTACTTCAAATCTCTCATTAATCATTTAAGTAATTCCCATATCACTCTATTTAACAGCTGAAAAAAATCTTCAAACTCCCCCTCAACTTTAATTCAAAACAAATAAATCTTCGAGGTACACTAAGCGTTTCAATTTATAGAAGAGACCCTCAAGGGTAAAAAAAAAATAGGAATAAAAATAAATAAATAAAAAAAATGAGAAGATTAGGTTACATTTAATAAAGTAGTGAAGCGAGTCTGTACTATTTTTCTTTTTATTTTATTTATTTATTTATTTTTTTTAAGCAGGAATTTTATAGTATTGAAGAAATGCACTTTACCTGATGCTACGAAATACACTCCCTTTTGGACCAATTCGTAGGAAAGTATTGGGTGTGGTGGCCTGGTGAAAATAAGCGCTCTTTTCATTGGCTATAAATGTATCCGGTACCCATATCCTATCAGCTACTTCTGCTCCTACAGATAGGCTTTCCAGTCCAGCTTTCGCTTGAAATCTAAGTCGATCATCATCCCATTCTTGACGAAAATAAAAGTCTAAAGTAAAATCCTGTAACAGAAATTATTCGTGTATGGTATAAAAAATAACTATACCCTAATACCATACTGCTATATTAATAAAATTTTTTTAAAAAAGAATTAATTTTTATTCATTTTAAATACTAATATTAATTTATCTCTCTATATTAGTATATTACAGCATTAAGTGTACAATATACTCCTATATAACGTACAGTTAGTAACACTGGGTACTGTACTGTACGTTGTGTAGAAGTTTACTGTGTTAACAAGTCTTTATTATTAACTTTAAATAGCAAAATTGTCATAATTTTTATGCCTATATTATTACAGTCGAACCTCATATAATTATCACACAATAATGGGCACCTGTAAACAGCGGACGTATTTTTATGCACTTCTTCCCCTAATTTTCTTTATCGAGTCTCTAATTTTAAATATCTAACACCATTCTCGAGATTAAGGAAGGCAACAGACGGAAGACAATGTGAATTTATACGTTTACAATTCTTTCAAATTACACCAAATAAACGACCATTTCTTTAAAATATTTCCCTCAATGTCCGTTGTTTAGAGGTTTGACTGTATGTTTTTTAAATACTGCTACAGTATTATCTGCTGCGAGTAATACTGTAGTAAAAAATAATTTTTTTAATTAACTTTAAACACTAATATATTGTAACATTAACATTAATTTAGGTACATTTTTAAAATTAATACTATAAATGCTTGTTTGTCGCAATACTGCAGTACTACAGCTTGTTTATTAACACAAATAGCACTACAGTAGTACGTGTTACCAGTACTAACACGGCTTCATTTTCGAAATTAATACTGTAAATACTAGTTTATTAATAGATCATACTATAAATATTTATTATTAATAAACATTCATTACGTTAGTAGCGTATGTTGTGTTGATTATAGTGTATTTCTAATTGGTTTTCTTCTAGTTAGATCTATTATAGTATATACGTAGTGGAGGACATTATAAGTGTAGAGCACTTGTCCACACTTGGGACTAATTCTAGTCAGTTGTGGGAAACTTCCCAGATATTGCTATCAACCAATCGATTGTATGTCCACTTCTATCCAAGTTAAAACACTAATCTGAAACACATCCCCCCAGCTTACAAGATTAACTAGAATATTCTTGGTATATGAAGTGCTGTGAATGGAATAAGATAATAAGAATTCTATACCTAGATTAACTCGAGATACAGGATAATGATGATGTTAACGCATTAGCTAACGATACTAAATTAAGAAACAATCTGAAGATAGGAACGAAATTAGCTGAATAAAAACGAATAATATCTAGTTTAAATATTGTTTAATTCAGTTATTTTGTTAAAGAATAAAGGAGTAAAAAAAGAATAAGAAAAAAAATATACAGAAGAAAATAAACAGGACAGAAAAAAAACAAGAGGAAACAGTAAGAGAACATAGGAAATTCTTTTAAGGATACAGCTTCCTATGTGGTGTTCTTCTCAGAAAAGTTCCACTATTTGTTCTACTCCATTTATTTCTTCATCTTTTCCAACTGTTTGCTCTTCCAGTTGAATTTAAAAAAACTTTCGAAAAGTTCCCATATAGAAAAATTTACTACTCATTTTTAATATTAAAAATAAGCGTTTTTAGGTTTTTCATATTTATAATTCTACTTTACTAAAGAAGTAAATTTGCTAAATATATTCTGTTAAATATGCTGTAAAACACTCACATATTTACATTATTGAAAAGATGGTAACGTTGTTGCTAGACTTTCCAGGCATTTTTTATTTATTTTCATCCTTAATAATTGCTATCATTACCTTTAAGTCTTCAGATTTGATATGAGGATATTAAGAGAGTGGGGCAATGTCTCTCGAAGTAATAATCCGATTTTTCTGAAAATTTCAAGAAACATTTCCCTCTAATCTACGAACTTCCTTGTAAAATTTCGGAAATTTTTAACAAAAGGTACAGGAGTTATTAAGCTTTAAATTAGGTTAACAATATTGCTTAGTAATTGGGCGAAACATTGTTAAACAATATTTTTAATATTCTGTTAAAGAAAACACTGCGCTAAATAAACATTATTGTTAATATCATTCTTGAACAAATTAAATGTGCCACAAACTATTTGTATTATACATATGTTATACACTATTTCTACTTTCACTATTAAATAAGTCAACGTCCCCTAAGCACTAACTTTAATTTTCTAACTAAATAAATCAGAAGGAGTTTAAACAATATATTCTAATTTTACTACTAAACATATTCTAAATGTTCTACTATTTAACAAGTAAATATATGCTAAATATTGTTTCTACTTCAACTATTAACATGTTATACACCATTCGTAATTAACTTATAGACTAGTTAACATCTGTTAGACACTTCTATTTCTACCAAACGTGTTACACATATCTAATTCTAGAAAAAAAAACATGTGCTGCATGCTGCACACTTCTAATTCTATCAAACATGTGCTGAACACTGCTAATTTTATCAACAATTAACACGTTACACACTATTCGTAATTATACTTTTAGACTAGTAAACATGTGCTACACACTTCTAATTCTACTATTTATACTAAATGCTATTTCTAAGTGTTAAAAACGGTACCAAATTACTCTAAATGCATGTCTAATTCACTCTAAACAATCGTCACATTTGTACAAAGAAGTATAAAGTCGTTTCATAAGATACAATGCATACAACAACAATAAAATAAAAAGAGAAGTTAACACATGATTTTTTAACGTTTAAGTCGTCAATTTGACAGTAAAGTTTTGTCATCAAGTTTAGTATACAGTTGAAAAGTTATATATTAAAGTTAGTTAAATAACAAATTAGTTTTCTTAATAGTTTTGGATGAATACCAAATAGAGCAGGTGCGCTTTATTGATCTTAGCTATAGGAAGTTAACTTGTAATTCGGAGCATGTGTTCGATACATTACATATGTATATAGGGCCTTATGGGCGTACTATTATATATTTATCTATATCGATATTTTAGTAGTAAAAAATCTAATATATATATATATTTTTTACACGATAAACTGCAGCGAGTATATTTAAATTTATAAAATTAATCCGTAGATTAGAGAAGGATTTAAAACTCTGTTAACCCCCTTTTTTTTCCTCCTCCCTCTTGACTGTGTGATGAGGTCAGTGTAGAAGTGTATAGCGATCTATCCAGGGAAAGGGGATTAAAGTGATTACTGAGTGAAGTCGTAAACAAACAAATAAATAAATTTTATTAAAATTACACGTTTATGACGTAAATTTACCGTTTTCGAAAGTAATATGTCTGTCTGGTCGTAGCTTAGTGTCAAAAATCCCTGTAATGAAGTGAAATTCGCTTGTGTGTACGAACGTTCGCGTGTTAAAAAAAACTGTATTTATGAGTATAGGAAACGTGATAAAATTGAGGTCGTGGATGTGTTATTGATATTTTCTTATCGTCACTTTTTATAGTAACGTTATGAACATTTTCATGGAGTTACAATAAAAAATTGGAACTTGTTAGTGGTTTCTAGAATACATTGTGTAAACGGTGACGTAAAATTGAGAGTAGTGTACACTTTTACGTCATTACTACGTCAGCTTCAACGGCGGAAGTGAAAAATGACGTGACATTTATGCAAGTGTGCAGAATATTCTAATCGTAACGTACAATTATATTCTTAATGGCTCTATCTATGTCAAGTATACTACGTCACTTACACTATTGTTACGTTTTTAGGTGTATTCTTGTTGACTGTTACACATTTTTACATATTAAAGTTATAAAAGAAATAACATACATTTATTTGTATGTTCATCGTAGATAAATACTTAAATGTATGTTATAAAATGAATGCATACAATATGTGAATTGTTATAGTTGAATACAAGCTGTATGTTGAATGCATGAATCATAAATGAATGCAGTATATATAAACATGAAAATATGAATGAATCATAGGTGAATTATAAGTGTAGGGACCGTAGACGACTATGTATATTATGGTTGAATGTATCGATTATAAGATGTATTCATATAAGATCTATATATTTATATTCAGGGATGTGTATATAAATCATAGGTTGATTGTGTAAATGTGAGAATTATAAATATAGAAACTGTGCTCTTAGACGAGTGTGTGGATTACAGGATAAATATAAGTGAATATATAAATCGTGGGGTGAATGTATGAATCATAAATGAATGTATCGATTTTAAAATATACTCACCTAAGAATCCTATAATTAAATGGATCATCCGTTTATGATATAAATAACAGGAGAATATATAGGCCTAAATCATGTTATAAATATATAAATCATAGCAGAATATGCAAATATTTTGATGGAAGATGAGTGCGTAACTCATAGCTCATAATTTTGTACGTTGCAGATGAGTAATAGATACTCATAGAATTTTATACATGGTAGATGAGTATAAATCAAGGCTTAAATGTATGAATATAAATTACCAGGTACATATATGAATCAAAGACAAATATAGAAATCGTAAAGAAAGGCGACAGATGTATAAATCATGACACATAAACGAATATATAAATTATAATAACAATATAAGGATCATGTATGAATCATTAAAAATCCTCGCGCCGTTTTAAATAAACTTAATACTAAAAATAACAATAATTATAAAGATTTTAAAATAACAATATCAAAGTTATTTATATACTATTTAATAATAACAATAACAAAGTTTACACGAAGCTGCACTAATGCTTCATCTTGTATTAATAACAATACACAACTAGATTGGACGAAGTTAGTGAGTCAACCTTGTTTAAACACATCATTAGTTTCCAAGATAATCAACATAATATTGTATAACTAATTAATTTCTTAATTACACATCAAAATATTTTCTGATTTCACTTTGTTAAATTATTAGAAAGTGAGAATTTTATATTTAATTTTAATATATATATATATATATATTTTTTCTTTTCCTCTTAGTTTAATAAACGTTTCTCATTCCTTTCTGGGGGACGAGAAAGAAAACTTATAAAATTTAAATTATCCTTCGTTGGAAATGAGGATAACGTCCTTTTTAGGAGATGAGAAATGTAACCTTTTCACTCCTAAAAAAACGTGGTGGAAACATTCCTTCTTATACGTGGAAAAGGGGGTGAGAAACAAACCTTCTGTTATACTAATTATAAAATTTGAAAATCACCCCCTTTCTGGAGGTTGTAAACATTTTTTCTGGTCCAAAAATTGAGTGAAAATATACTTTTTCGTACCTAAAAGTTGAATTTTTCGAACCTTCTACTAAAGAAATTTGAAATCAACCTTGTGTGGATGTTAGAAATGCTCGTTTTCACCCTCCAAAAAAAAAAAGGAAAACAATCCCCTCACCTTCAGAAATGGGGTGAGAAATTAATTTTTTTTCCATTCAACTTATTATAAAATTTTAAAAATATTTTTGGAAAAGAAGCATTCTTTCTCATCCTCAAAAATCCGGGATGAGAAACATCCTCTAATCCCTAGAAAGAGGGTGATAAACGAACATCCCGCCATTCTTCTGCTAATAAAATTTGAAATCATTCCCTCCTGGATGGCGAGAAACGTTCTTTTTCATCCCAAAAATGATGAGGAGCATCCCTTCTTACCCTCAAAAAACGAGGTGAGAAACTCTCCCTCGCATCTCTAGAAAGAGGGTGAGAGAACAAACCTTTATTTTACTACTTATAAAATTAAAATAATTTAAAAAAACTCAAATATTTTAGTAAGTTTTTTTTGGCCTATTTAAACAAACAAATTTGGCAACATCCCAATCACATTCAGGTAATGTATACATACAACTAAATTGTTTAAATTTAATTTATAAAAAAAATACTAGACACTTACCATTTGTACTTCGGAAACTGAACTAATACTAAGAATGTACATCGTAACTCCCACCTCCACTGGTGGCCCTATCAATATATATAAATATTTAAAAAATATACAATTTTTTCTCAGTTTTAAATAATTTTCTTACAAAAAAAATTTAAATAATAATAATAAAATAATATAGTTAATTCCTTTATTCTTTGTTTAATTCTGTAATTGTTTACCCAATTGTCTTGTAATTTATTTATTTTATTAGTGAAATGGAAGAAATCGTAACAATTTTGAATATTATTATGTCACTTATACTGTTGTATTTTTATTATTACGTCACGAGTATTATTTACGTAATTTTTAATTGTCATCTATTTTAGTTTCGGTATTGTTACGATTTTAAGAGTCGCATTTCGTCTTCTTCTCTATAATTGTTACGTTATATTTTGCGCATACAACTTTTATTTATACACTTTTCATGCTGTAAAATGTTACTAAATTTAATATTATGACGATTTTTTCTCGTTATATTAATGTTTTTCTATTCAATGTTACGTTATGAGTTTGATTAACACGTTTCTGTCTATTAAATGATTATATATTTATATCAGTTACGCTGTTGTTACGATTTCGTTTGTAATTTTGATGTAGTCTCGATGATCGTTACGCTATTTCTAAATGTACCTTTCTATGTTCGCATTTTAACAGTTACGCGTTACCATTAACATTATCGAAGTTAATGTTGTTGTTTGCATAATTGTTAAATCATATTTTGCATAAAAGTTGTATTATACTTATTTAAACTGTTAAGTGTTTCCAAATCTACGTCAATTTCATTATTGTTACGGTTTCGATTGTTACGTTGTTACATTCTTCACTATAGTTAAGACATTTCACATGTACTTTCTTCCATATTCATTTAAATCCTTATATAGCTTTAAATTCACTACAAGTCAGCTTTATACGACGATTACGAAGATAGGTGTTACGATTGTTACGTTATGTTTTTGTATATAAGTTCTTTTGCATGCATTCAAACCTATTAAATGTTATGAAATTCATATCAGTTACACTATTGTTAATAAATTGATGTAATCTTGATTACTGTTACGCATTTTTTTATGTAGATTGCTTGTATACATTTAAAACTATCAAGTGTTACTATATTTATATCCCTTATGCTATTGTTACGTTCAGATCATAACATACAATTTGTCTCTATCTGTATCACTGTATTTATGTCAAGTCTACGTCACTCACACTATTGTTACGTCTCTGGGTGCAACGTAATGATGTATTCTCGATGACTGTTACGCATTTTTGCATAATTAAGTGTTTCAAAATCCATATCAGCCCCGCTAGTGTTACGATTTTGAACATTTACGTGTATATTTTTATACTATTTTTAACTTTTGTAAAAATTATACGCACCCCTTTCTAAAAAAAAATACATATTTATATTATATAATTCCAAAAATTTAGATGCTAAAACACTTAAAAATATCCCTCCCCTTAACCAAACGTCAAAAGTAACATTAAAAAACGTATAATTTATTAAAATATACAATCGTAACATACGTAAACAACGAAAAATAAGATAATAAAAACACAGAATTAACTATTTTAATTATAAAAAGTAACGTTGTTACGCTCAATTTTTTTTAAAAAAATTCAATTGTAAGTTGCAATTTATATTATAAATTCTTTCATATTATAAATATAAAACAAATACAAAAAAAATGTCCTTGTTTTATTACAAATTATGCTATACACAAGCAAGAATTAAGTAGTGTATGTTTAATATAATATAATTAATTACATATTTTAATTATCTTAATTAAATTTAAAGAAGGTTAAAGTGTTTGT